GGATTTCATTGTAGGGTCCTGCAATGGAGTCTACGGGTCCCATTTCTTGCAACTGTTCCACCACATATTCCATGGCCTGATGGCTGTTGGTGCCCGTGTCGACTGCCACGACATTGCCAAACTGAATGCCACATTCTTGTAGCTCTCCCAATTCGCGGACAATGGAGTCATTTCGAGTATTGAAATGATCCACTGCCAGTAACGCGGCTGCCATGTGGAACCATCCTGGATCGAGGACCGTCTGGTTGCTACATGTAGCAGAGAGGAACAGCAAGAATGTGAGCGGAGCCTTACTCTCTGGGAGTATTGCTCTCATATCATAAAAGCAACTTACTTTTTCGACAATGGCACTGCTATAAGCATTGAAAAAGTACCGTCTTGGCCTCTTATTCTACCCGTCACATATGTGAGCAACAGCAGGAAACAAGAGAGCAGTAACGGCAGGGCTCGCCCATTTTGCGTCGGAAACATTGCCAGAAAATTTCTTCCCACAGATCAAGACGTTGATGATATCGATACTACTCTACTGGGAACTTTCTATATCCGGATACCGGATATCTCTAAAGCTGGCTAGTAGCTACTAGGCAAAAACTCGATCAATAGCCAAGTCTACAGCCGTCGAAGCACCGCTGCTTCTTCAAAATTGAGAGTTTCTTCAAAATTGGTTTTGTCATCGTCTTCGCCTCTTCGCCTCGAAGCGCCTTGGGAACGATCGTGTGAACTTTTCGGGAAACAACTTACAGTAAGGTTAAGGTCACTTTTAGCAGAAAGAAGAGCGGCGGATTTGGTTAACCTTTTAACTGTCGTTTTGGGTTAAGGACTAGCTAGAGCATTGTCGTTCTCTGAAGGAGGCAACTAACTCATCATCATTGTTGTTACTATCTCTTTGGTTGGCTGAAGCAAGTACTAAATCGCAAATATAATTGGACCTACCTATGAGGAGAGATCGAGGTGTTAACCATGCTCGTTTTCCGGAGCAGCTTATTGTTGTTGGCGGTATTCTGCATCCTAATACTTGACGGAACGGCTTCGATTGGGGTCAACCTCTCTCTGTTGGTAGCAGTACCTCTTACCAATGAGTGAGTTTCCTGCGGTTCTTGTTGCTTGCTTGCTTCAGAAGAGCCATTGTGTCTTATTATCTTTTTCTTTGATTCTTTCTCGGTAGCAACTTCCCAGTACCCGACCCTGGTTGGATCCAGTTGGCGTCGGCGCTCCTGGCCGTAGATCATTTCAATGCGCGAGATTCTTCGGTAGTAGCGGAACTGAAGCAGTATGATGCCTGTCCCATTCGCTTTGACACCAATAATATCACTGTTATGGATACGGGGACCCACTTGACGCTTCCCAAATTGGCACCTATCGAATCCTTGGATGCCATTGCCGGTCCGTTTCACGAAATGCCGGCATTGGAGCTCAGCGTCATTGCCAATACCTTGGAGATACCCATTGTGGCGCACAAGGCATTTGACAATTCACTCGCCAATCGGTTTCCCTACTTTTCCCAGGTCTCTGCCGATTCTTCGGCCGAAATGGCCTTTCTGGTAAGGTATCTGGAACATGTGGGACGCACCAACTACATTGCCGTGCTCTACTCCAGTACCAGTGCGAGTGCCATGCAAAAGGTGGATATCTTACGAGTCCTCTTATTGGGAATGGATCACGTACGAACCTTTCCATACCGTTCCAAGTCGACAACAACAACGGCTAGAAACAGTGGTCTTGCCGATTCCTCCGTCCGTCATGCCTTGGAACGGGTCTTGGAGACGGGCTTTCGGACCATTGTATGGATCTCGGATGATATGAAATGGGATGCCATGGATGTTCACGAGGCAGCATCCGATTTGGAGTTGGATCAGGGCCGGCATTTGTGGATCGTCATGGGTGGTGTCTCGGAACTCTCGTGCTACGACCAAATGCAACTGTTGAACCACAGCCATGCCACCTTTGGACGACGCCACTATTATCTCAATGGGGCGGCCTTTTTGAATCCACACGATGCCTTTGCCATTGGTGGAGGCCAAAAGTTTCAAACGGCATTCTTTCAACAAAACCATAGCTTTGTGGAACGATTGGAAGCACTCACACCCATCCAAGACTACTACAATGCATGGTCTCACAAGAGCAACAACAATACACAAGAAGAAGTGACTTTGGCCACCATCTTGCACCAAATACAGAGTTGGTGGGTGGGCAGTGCGTATCTGTATGATGCAGTGATGGCCATTGGCATTGGAGCTTGCGAGGCTGCAGCAGCCGTTCCCAGCAATACTTCCATCAAGGGCGAGCTCCACCTCCAAGGCATTCGCTCGGTCAACTTTACGGGGGCTACAGGGCGGATTGCCTTTGGCAGTGCCGAACTGGGAAGCAGACAAGGAGATACCATTCCCTTTGCCGTAATCAATTTGCTCCCTCCGGGGTAAGTTCAGGTTGTCTTCATTCCGCTGCTCCAAACTAACGCATCCAATGCCTGACAACGCCGTTGTTTTTTGATGTAAGAAACGAGAGTCTCGTCGAGATCTCGGAGATTCTGGATCCAAGCACTGGTGAATTCATTGAAATTGTCCCTTTTGTGTATGCGGACGGCACGACAAACCCACCGATGCTGCTAAGAGATACTCCTGATCAGAATTATCTCAGTGATGGTGTGCGGATGTTTGGCCTCAGTCTCATGACGATGGATCTTGTCATTGTGGCGCTATCGGCAATTTGGGTATTTTGTTACCGCCATAACAGTGTGCTGATTGCAGCCCAACCAGTGTTTCTATACGCCCTGTGCGTTGGGTGTGCTGTCAACTGTTCGGCCATTTGGTTCAACTCGGTCGACGAAGGACAAGGTTTCACCGAAGAAGTTCTGAACAAAGCCTGCTTAACTTCGGTATGGTTGGGAAGTGTGGGGTCCTGGATCATCTTTGGAACTCTTTTTACAAAGGTACGTCGAGTCGAATCGAATCCCCGTGGCAATCGACACATAAAGCGTTTTCTTTCTAACTTGCTTTCGGTATTGCTGTTGCGCGTACCACTTGATCTACGATAGCTATGGTAAGCGAGATGGGGGATGTCATGGTCCTTCGCGCAGCTGGAGGTCTTCATCCTCACAACAACCATCTGCTCGCGACTCTGTTAGGCGAGTGAACCGTTTGATGGTTCAGAAGGCATCCCACATCAGCATTTGGATTGTAGTTGGACCTGCCTTTGTCTTTTCGTTGGTGTTTGTCGGCGTTCTGACGCACTGGACTCTGACCACGGACTATGGCTGGGAACGCACTGAAATCGATCCGGTGAGTGGGGCCAGCATTGGGCAGTGCTGGGGAGAACACAGCAACGATCCCGTTTTCTGGATTATCATCCTTCTTCTACAGATCCCCATTTTTCTTACCGCGAGAATGGCGTACAAGACCATTGGTGTCGATGATCTCTATTCGGAAGCAAAGTGGGTATTGATTTTTCTGCTGGTGCAGATTCAGGTGCGTTCGTCGCTGTTGTCTCTTTTGGAGCGCATGCTTGAGCTTGCGTTGCTAATTGTCCCTCCACAGGTCACATTTGTTGGCGCCCCCGTTCAATATATCCTGAGCTCCACCTCTCGGGATGGATTCTTCCTTGGTACATCCCTTCTTTACTGGTCCGTTCCAGTTACGGCGATGGGTCTGATTGTGTTTCCCAAGGTTTTGACAGTTCGGCGCACGCAACAAGCAGCATCAAACGAGACAGACGAAACACAGCAACAAAGACGCCAATCTTTGTCACGGCTAACGGGAGAAGTAGTTGTATCTCCTTCTGTTTCCACGTCAACCGTTGGCAGAAGGGGAGAGACCGCGGCCACCAATCATGACGTCTCTTCCTTATCCCTCACAAGTGGACCCCGGATACAGATTGTAACGTTTGATTGATTTGGTCAAGGTGGGAAAGAACGGTTCTGGCGCCCTCTCCTTCCTTGCGAGAAAATGCGGCTTGGGCTGTGCAGACATGCATCCTGATTGGGGCTATTGAGGGGACTTCACTCTAGATTGTAGAGATCAAATGCTATGGCAAGACGGGTTCATATGTACTGGACTTTCTTATGTAGTATACAATATAATGATGCATCAAGGGGCCAAGCCAATGAATGATCCAATCACCTAACAACGTTGTTGCTGGCGGCGGTTTGGGCCAGGCGTGGCAGAGCAAAGGACCTCCAACTCCTTCCCGACATCCGACCAAATCAGGCACCAATGGGATTTCCTCCAAATGCCATGACGCAACTTGGATCAATCATGTCAACCGGCTGCAGGGTAACGGTATCTCTCGACTTGACATCCATGCAGGCTTCAACCGGACGAACTCTGGTGATCTCGTCATGATGGGCCTTGTTCTTCTCGCTATCAAAGTCTGCGTGATGACGGTGAATCCTGTGGATGTCGTCCGGCTCAAGCCAGGACATCGGCACTTTGGAGAATGGTGTTGGCCTGTTCTTTTCAGGAGGCAACCAAGCCATGGCCACTTTGGCAAATGCTGCAGGTCTGATCTTCTCTGCTGAAAGCTTTTCCATTGGAACCTGGGCAGACTGGTTAGGCATAGTGTTATTACCGGCACTTGGTAGCCAAGCCTTTGGAACTTTGGTAAACTTGGCTGACTTTGGCTTTGTACGAGGCAGCCACTCCATGGGAACCTTGTCAAACTTAGAAGGCTTTTGCTTTGCCGGTGGAAGCCAAGCCATTGGCACCTTGGCAAAATCCGAACCCTTTGGTTTGTCAGGACGCAGCCACTCCATTGGTACCTTGGCAAAACTCATTGGCCTTGGCTTTTCAGCAGGTAGCCATGCCATTTGCACCTTTTCAAACTTAGAAGGCCTGTGGGTTGCAGGAGGCAGCCAAGCCATTGGAACTTTGGTAAATTCAAACCTCTTGGGCTTGGTTGGTGGAAGCCAAGCCATTGGCACTTTGGCAAATGCTAAAGCCCTGGGCTTCAAAGGAGGCAGCCACTCCATAGAGACTTTGGCAAATGCCATAGGCCTTGGCCTTGTAGCAGGAAGCCAGGCCATTGGCACCTTTGCAAACTTAGTAGGCCTAGAGTTCTCTGCTGGCAACCAGGCCATTGGAACCTTGGCAAACCTGGCTGGCATGGTTTTTGTTGCTGGAAGCCAAGCCATTGGCACCTTAGCAAAAGATGCTGTAGGCCTGGTCTTCTCCGTGGGAAGCCACTCCATGCGAACCTTTGGAAATGCCTGAGCCCGAGACCGTTTTCCAGGTAGCCATGCCATTGGCACCTTGGCAAACTTAGTAGGCCTAGAGTTCTCTGCAGGCAACCAGACCATTGGAACCTTGGTAAACTTGGCTGGCTTGGGTTTTGTTGCTGGAAGCCAAGCCATTGGCACCTTAGCAAAAGATGCTGTTGGCCTGGACTTATCTGTGGGAAGCCACTGCATGCGGACCTTTGGAAATGCATGAGCCCGGGACCGTTTTCCAGGAAGCCATTTCATGGGTACCTTGGGAAATGCACCAGACCTTGGTGTTTCAGCAGGCAACCAAGCCATTGGGACTTTCACAAATATAGAACGTCTGGGTTTATCAGGAGGCAGCCAAGCCATGGGCACTTTGGTAAACACAGAACGTCTAGGTTTTTGAGGAGGCAGCCAAGCCATTGGGATTTTGGCAAATGCAGCAGGCTTTGGCTTTGCAGGAGGCAGCCAAGCCATTGGGACTTTGGCAAACACAGCAGGCTTTGGCTTTTCAGGAGGCAGCCATTTCATGGGCACCTTCGCAAACTCCAATGGTGATGCTTTGGAATATCCAACCCTTGTCTTTTCAGGAGAAAGCCAAACCATGGGCACCTTGGCAAACTTTCCCTTCGCGGGTTTCTCTGGAAGTGGTTCAGTGGATGCATGTTCGAGCACCTTGAGGCTCTGAGTCAAGGTCTCGTCGTCGTCGTGGCTACTAGCCAGAGATACCTCATCATCGAGGGGGTCGTCTACATCTGGCAACAGGCAAGTGCGGAGGATCAAATAGGTGGGAATGAGGAGGTCGAGAAGCGTTTGGAAGATTCGCTCCGTTAGCCGCGAGAAGGCGGCCGTATCATTGAGTTTCATGGTGTCCGGCTCGAACGGATGCTTTTGGTCAGCTTTTTGGCACCGTTAGTACAGTACTGTAGTTTTTGTTTTGGCTAGATTTCTTTTTTGTGAGGAAAGGACTTGGGCGCATCCTCCTTGCTACAATCGTGGTCACGGTACCGTAGCTAGCTAGCTATTACGGTACCAATAGCTTCTAATCACCTGGACATTGCAATGGCAACCCGAACGCCCTGGGTCAGCGACCTTCTCATCGCGGTGCTGAAGAAGTCTTTTAGTCTTTTGTCGTACCGTAGCTCAGGCACCGTTTCGTACCATAGCACTTTCGACGGCAATCGAGGGAAGAACGTGTCCCTTGTAGCATGAGAAGGCACGAAGGTTCCATTCGAATATTCGATTCCAATGATCGATTGACCTACAGCCAATCTTATCGCACCTCCAATCAAGACACTTCGCTTCCTCGTTTCCCAATCTGCAGTAAAAGCAAGTCTTGAGGATCGGGAATTCACAGCCCCCTTCAAGTACATGTACTGTAGAGTCGAGTCATCAACGATGTCTGCCTTGGGAACCTCTGACCAGAACTGGTTCCTCTTGGCTCTACAAAAGTAGCTGGCTCTAGACTGCAGTGTTTGGTGCTACTACAGTACTCCCAGAGCCAGCTAGGAAGAACACCCGGGACCGATGAAATAGTACAGACACCCAGAAGCTGTAGTGTCCTCTTGACACCGGTACGCTGGCCAAGACACAATTTTGTAGGTATCCAGGTCAACACCTACCTCTGCTACTAGCTAGCCAGCTTGCTGCTAGCTAATGTAGTCACTTCTTCAATGGTTGGGAAATGATAGCTTGAGACCGCGTTGCTGGTTGCGAGTGGTGGGGCTCGTGGATACCGCTCGAAGAGACGATGCATGGCATTCTTGCCATCTTGATTAAATGATACAGACCGCTCGACCGCTCGAAGAGACGGCGGTACAGTACAGTACCAGGTAGCCTACCAGTAGTGGCGTGCTTTCGGTGAACCACTCACATCCCTGCCCTTCGCCCACAAGCCCTTCGTTGAGCTGGCTTCAACACTAACCCTTCAAACCGGTATCCAAAGAATATTAGAAGAAGTTGATAGCGTTAAAGCTTCAGTTTTTGGGATGGATTTTGAGAACCCCTCGGAGCCAAAGCTATTAATATCCTCTCTTTGTCCCCGTGGCGAAATGCTCCTGGACTTTCCCCAAAAGAGACGTTGAGGATTGATTGAGCGACCATGACAGATCCCACTCTAGTACGCCCTTCCGATAATGAAGAAGAGGACGTCCACGGTCATCAGGACCATGAGCATACGAAAAAGAAAAAGGCTCTGACGGATGATTGGCGATCCTGGCTGATCCTCAATGTAGCGCGTGGTTGCGATCGACACGAGTTGTTTGATCGATGCGTGGTGGAGCATGGTTTCGACGAAGCGGATGTCTTGGAGGCCATGGATCGATATGATCAAGAAGATCAAAAGAAGGAGCAAGTAGAAGAAAAGAAAGTCAACGGAGAAGAAGATGAAAATGAGAAGAAAATACAAACACGAAATAATATTGATACGACTTCGACAACCCACAACAAAGCAGTCAACAATGGCTGGAAAGAATGGATTCGAGTGCGATTGGATCAAGGCAATACAAAAGAGCAGGTTTTCTTATTGTGTGTAAAGGAAGGATTGAATTTGGATCAAGTCTCGCAAGTACTGGGTGGCTATCGTGCCCGCACTCATGAGGACGCCTTTTTGGTCTGCCCAAAACCAGCCTTTGCCAAAAGAACCTTTACTCCTCGCGCTTGGCGCATCGATTCGGATCTGGTAGACCTCTACGAAATTCCCCACTTTTTAACCAAGGAAGAATGTCAAGATGTCATTCATGCCATTAACACGGGCATGTTGGAGCGGTCCATTGTCACGGATGGAAATGCGGCAGCCAGAACCAGTCAAACGTGTCATTTGCGACGGACCAATGATACAAGAAGTGGCATTATCCGTCGCGTCGAAGACAAGTTGCAAAAATTAATGGGAGAAGATTGTCGTCCCGTGTCGCATGCCGAAACATTGCAGGGACAGTGTTACAGCGCCGGAGAATATTTCAGTGCCCACACGGATTGGTTCGAACCGGATTCGGAAGAATACAACAAACATTGCCAACGAGGGGGGCAGCGAACGTGGACCGTCATGGTGTACCTGAACAATGTAACAGAGGGTGGAGAAACCAAATTTGTGCATTTGGAACGAGACTTTATGCCGAGACAAGGATGGGCACTGGCATGGAACAATCTGGACGCGGACCACGAAACGCCCAATCCATGGACGTTGCATGAAGCCATGCCTGTCATGGAGGGCAAAAAGTATGTATTGACCAAGTGGTTTCGAGAAAAGAGCATGACGTGAAATTACCATCGTGTGATTAGTCTAGCAGTCCATGCACCGCATCAATCATGAAACCAAGGATGAATTCGACAACTATCGCAGTTGTTGCCAGTCGGATACTAGTTATCTACTCCACTAGCTAGCTATAGTCTACCTTGAGCAATGTTCACAATCAATAGAGGACTATTACCCAATTTTACACACGGTCATTGAGCTGGCTGTTGTCTTAGTAGAATTGCGCAAACCTGACCTTAGACAAGCTCAACAAGCAAGAGCACGATAGAGCCAGCTCCTAGTGTCACCCATGCAAGAGCCTTGAAGGACGAGACCATGGCAGCAGCTGTGGATGAGCCCACGTTAATTCGAAAGGTAATGTCCTCTTGACTCTCATCATCATCACCCGTATCATCGGTGGCGTCAAAGTCAGTGGCCGTCAGGTGCACCAGGAGCGTATTGACTCGAGGAATGACGTCTAGATACCTCTTGGCAGAAACCAACGTGATCTCCAGAGGATTGTCATCACTCCAACGCAGAATGGTGCGATCGAAACCACCCAGAAACATGTCATAGTCATATCCATCCACCCTACCCTGCAGGAACAGGATGGGTACAACTTGACCACCTGCGCTGGGAAGTGTTTCCGAAATGGTACTGTTGCCGTCATTCGAGCCTTGCAGATTGTTCGTCATGAGAGAAAAGGCTGTCGTGAGCTCTCCCGTGCTCGAGTTGTAACCAAACTTGAGCGATCCAAACGTTCCTCCCAATTCCACTGCCTCTTCCAATGTGGTACCGATGGGAATATCGTCACGCGTCAGCTGCACCTGAGGGGGGAAGTACATGACGGGCACCGACTTGGCCCCGTTGCTGCCCTCGTCGTACACGTAGACGGGCATGTGATCCTGATTGGCTTTGTCGCCCAAAAAGACAAACTGTCGATCCCATACCGCCGAGAATTGACTCTGGTTGTACGTGCCAGCGACCGTTGCCAAGTAAAGATAAAAGTAGTCGTCACCACTGCTTTGCAAGAAACGGCGTTTATTCTTGTGACGATGCGGTCGTAGTTGATCCAACAAGGCGGATTGTCTGGGTGGTTTCCTCTTCTGTCCGGCACTGATAGTTTTCAGTTGACGGCGATTATAGAGGGCTGTAATATCAAAGAGAAAGTGTGAATAGAAAGGTTTCATTCAAGAATAAGACTTGCATGCATGCACGTACCTGACGAATCAATCCCAACCTCGACGTTGACAATGTCGGTGTTGGAGGTGATTTCTGATTGAATAATGACTTCCTTCCCAGTATCCTGGACGGATGGGTTGATCAGGAGAGACGGCTCTGGTCCGGTCTCGTCCGTGGCGGCACCAAAGTTGTCTACTGTGTCTACTGTGTCTGTAGTTGTCACAGTAGTTGTACTAGTTTCTGTCCCTGCCGATGTAGAGCTACCACATACTCCATTTCCTGACGCACTTGAGGCTGAAGAGGATGGAGCCTTTTTATTCAGGTATGTTGTCATGAAATCCAACCACTCGGGTGGCAGATCAACGACATCGCCGTTCTCGAAGAGATAGCCATCAAAAATACGCTTCTTTTGCTTGTACACGCTTGGTAGGGGCCACATGATATGCATACCAGTTCCTTGTGGCGTTCCAGGACCCACACCCCTCGCCACAAACATGGCGTTATACTTGTCGATTGCCGTGTCCAATAGTTGCCCAAGAGAGGAATCCTCCGAGGGACTGCACAAGGATCGAAACCCTTGCAAGAAACTGCCAACATCCACGGCTGAAGGATGCTCCCCACCAGAATTGTCCAGATAGGAGTCAAAGGACACGGAAGAAACCCTTGCCCTGTGCAAGTTGGTGTGGAAATCTTCATCGTAGGTTTCCTGATCTGCTAGAATGTTCTTCATTGTGGCAAAGAGATCCTCCAAGGCAGTGTAAAACGTCTGGAACTGATTGGTGCCAACCAATGCCATGGTCTTTGGTGCTTGATGCTTGAATGAACCTTGTTTCTCTTGCAAGAAGGTATCATGAAAATCCTTGGCCATGTCAAGTGCACTGTCTACGTTTTCTAGCTCTCTGTAAGCCCACCCATGTCCAGGTTCCGTCGCCTCACTGGCCAAGACGTATTTTGATACCTTTTGATACTCGTTCAGTGCCAAGACCGCCGACATGAGGCATGCATCAAACCCAATCACATCGAGTTGGCCTGGTGCTCCGTCCACTTCAGAGAGTGCCGACTCTATGGCATAGACAATGTTCTTGTTGCTCTGAATCAATCGGCGTCTTGTTCTCCAGTTTTCGTCGCCTCCATATCCCGCAAATCCAGCCCCGTGCGAGGAAAGGATCAAGAAGGTGTCCACGGTTTCGTGTCCCCTGGAAAGACAATCTGTCAAAGCGTGCACCACAAAGTCGTACAGGGCTTGGGGGTGATCGCTGTTGACCTCTCCCAAGTTCGTGTCGACAACCATTTCGTCGTTGTCGTGGTCATATACCGAATAGGTAACTCCATCGTCATTTCGGCCATCAAAGTAGACCCATGTTGTCACAGAGTCCTCTCGAATACCCCTGGATTCGATCAGCTCTTCAGCATCTTCTTCTAGGAATGACTCTAGATTGTTATCCGCCATTTGGAAAACCATTAGGCAGACCGCACTGCCTCCATCTTGCGCCGCTACGACCTTTCCGAAGAGTAGAAGAATCGCAGACAGATAGAAGAGACATGTCCTTGAGGAGACCCTGGAACGGTTTCCCATCTTCCTCATCATCATCTGCAATAATGATACAGCTTCCTGTGCGGGTACACAAGTGTATCTGTCCCACTGCGCAATCCTACTCCCAGTTCTATCCAGCTGGGTTTATCCGATACCAGTACCCACTCAACGCAAAGGGTGTTCTATCCGCTATGGGTATTACCATCGCCAGTGAGGGGAAGCAGTTGGATCCAAGGCGTTGTGTTCTGGCGAAAGGGGTGACATGCCAAAATTATTCCATTCGTGGATAGTTTTTGAGAATAATGCCACATACTGACCAAGGGGGGTTTAGAGTAGGGGGGTTATCCAGGTAAGGTACCACAGGATGGACAACTACATGTAAACGTATTCTGGATGAGACACACAGTGACATGACCGGCAAAGCAGCAACTCCTGCAGCTGACCATTTCTTCATCGTAAATGAAGAAGCTGAAAAATTGGGAGCCCAAGACACCCAATACTTCCACACAATGGTGGCAACGGCTCTGTTTCCTGTCAAAGAGAGGAAAGCCTGGCAGGCGCCCTGGAAGCAGTGGTATTTCTGACCACCCATGTCAAGCTCCACACATTGATGACTGCAAGAAACTGGCGCGGCTTGTGGAGTTCCTGTGGGCATTGCTTCCCAATTATGAAGGACAGGATAGCTCCAGGTGAAGAAAGCATTTCAGAGCAGCACTTCTGAACCTCAAGGAGCCACATTTGGATGGCTAGACAACAACAACAATGCATTGTTCCCTATCCACAGGAGTGTGTTGTGGAATGACGAGGCAGTGGCCGGATTGATTGACTTGACTCAACTCAGTGAGAAAAAAGTATCAAGTAATGAACCAGCAGGTGAACCCAGAAAACGACCAAGCCAAAAGCCCATTACTTTACTTAATAAATCTGTTCTTTGATTACGATTGAATAGGACATTGCCTGTCAGTCAATCTAGCTAGGTAGCTGTTGCCTTCTTTAGGCACAATGGCGTTGTAACTGCTTGTCAATTGAACAACTCATGCTATAGTATTTGCTTTCAATACCGCTAAAGAATTAACATTCACATGAATCTAATACTCCGCCTGCTTTGAGTACAGCGAAAGCGTTATGTAAATATCATTGAGCCCAAACCTGCATCCACGAAGCCGATGGCCCTGGCAAATGGCAAAGACAAGATCATCTTCGACGACACAACTCACCGCTACCTACCCATCAGCATTGGTGATTGTATGAACGACCATGTCATCGCAAGATGTTTCCTCGTCGCAGAGATCCACCGGTAGTAAACGGCGTCGTCGATCGGCACCTCCTCCAGGACGGCTGGGATGGCCTGGTGGCTTGACCCAATCCAGTGGTTCTCTTTCTCAGCCCAACAACAACAGCAATAACACCACCCACAAGAGAAAACGCTCGTCCTCACAATCGTCTATTCCAAAACAACATCATGACAACAGTAACGACGATTCCTCGTTGTGGACGGAAAAGTACACCCCCACGTGTCGCAAAGAACTCTGTGTGGCTCCCAAGAAAATCCAAGAAGTGTCCGATTGGTTGGACGACAATGACAATAAGAATCCATTTCGGTTGCTCATTTTGGTCGGACGACCGGGCATTGGAAAATCCACGCTAATACGAGTCTTGGCGCAAGAAGCCAATGTGGAATTGTTGGAATGGAGCGAGACTTACTCGTCGTGGTCCAACCATGTGGAATCCTTGTCGCCACTCCAGTCTTTTGGCAAATTCCTCCAACAAAGTGGAGCGGGATTTTCCTCGTTGGATTTGCAATTCACCAGCACCACAAGCGCAAATAGTCGCACTACTGCTAACGACACTAGTTTGCCCCGCAAAAAATTGATTGTCTTGGAAGAACTTCCCAATTTGGCCAATGCCGAAAGTCAAGAACGTTTTCGAGAACTGTTTACGCAACACATTCAAACCTCGCACATCAAGACGGTCTGGATCTATTCCGATGTCACCGAAGGCAATCACAAACCACAAGATTTGGAGCGACACGTCGATCCTTCCATTTTGTACTCGCAGTCCCAAATACTGCAAATCAATCCGGCCACCAAAGCGCAACTCAAGAAATCACTCGAACGAATTGCCAAGGCCGAGCAATTCACTCTTTCCAAGGATACTTGCGAGAAGATGCATTTGCAAAGTGGAGGAGATGTCCGATATGCCATTATGGCACTGCAATTTGATCGAGTGGGACAATCAAACAAGTCTTCTTCTTCTGGAAGAGGCAAAAAGAAGAAATCTTCCTTTTTTGAAAAGCCCCCAAAAGCCAAACAATCCACAACCACGACGACAATGCCACCACGAGATACGCAGTGGACGGCATTTCATGCGCTGGGGAAAATACTCTATGCCAAACGACAAGAGCCGTCCAACAACGACAGCATCAGCACAAATCCTCGACAACGCCCTCCCCTCCAGTTTGACCCCGAAGGTGTCCTCGAACACTGCGATTTAGATCTGGGAAATGCATTGACGTACTTGGGATTTCACTCGGTCGATTTCTTTACGGATATAGAAGAAATTTCCACGGCAATGGATTTGTATTCCGACGCGTCCTATCTGCTCGAACAAACCACCAATTACAATTATCAACGGCGCAACCTAAACAACAACAATACGGTTTCCTGTCCCATTTTCCCCGAAGGATACGTCACATCCCTCGCGAGTCGGTCCGTGGGATATGCCAATCATCATCCGGCACCCTCGCGATTTCGGCAATTGGATGCTCCCAAGATTTTTGAAATTCGACGCAAACGAACCGATAATGAATACCAGTTGCATCGGTTGCAAAGGCGACTGTCTTCCATGGCAGATGGTGCAGATGGTGTGTCGCACTTTGTCTTGGATCGACTGCCCTTTCTCCGCATGATTGAACCACAAGGTAAGAAGATTGTGTTGCTTCATTTGTATGGAGTGTAGCGCAGATCTGGGAGATGCGTGTCGTTTTTCTCACTTTTTGTGGTTGGCTCAGCGGTAACTTCGTCTCTGGACCGACTTCATTCGAGCAATTCGGAACACACTGGTCGGTTCGAGGCTTTGCAACAGGAAGAGGAAGCAGCAGCCATGGCACGCCTGCAAAAGGAGCAAGAAGAAATCTTGCAGGCCGATGATATTGAAGAGTTTGACAGCAGCGATGAGGAGGAGAAAACTGTTGCTGTTGCTGCTGGTCAGTCGCAACAGGACAGAAAGGTGCCCGGATCTTTACAAAACACAAGTGCCCGACCGGCCACTACACAATCCACACAACCAGCGAAAAAACCATCCAAGCCCGTCTTCAACCCGTACAAGAAGAAGCAACAAAACACACAATCGCAGCAAAAGCCACCGCCGCAGGTTACCTGGAGCCGTCCGCCCAAACCAGTTACCAAACTGGTCAACCCTTATGCAAGAAAATCAAAAGCTAGTGGTGCTACAGTACCGAACAACCGCCCTTCTGCTCTTCCGCCTGTAGTGGCGGCGGAGCAAAAACCTCCTGCACGTGAAACGGCCAAGGTCACCGTGGATGTTTAGCCTGTGCCGGATGTGCAAGATCCAGTGTCGTAGTTGCTATCATGCCACTACAAGCCCAACAAACAATCACAATACCATCGAAGGACACATGGGTGCAAATATACATAGTGCTATGTAGGATATTAAGATGCAGGTTTGCCATTGCGAAAGCATTCGCAATGATCCATCGTTTCAGATGCAAAATTGTTGCAAAAGAACCCATTCACAGGTTCCTTTTGCATTTCTAGTTCAAAACAAAAATGATCCCTTTCCTAACGAACCGGAAGAGGAAATAGCTGAGCACCAGAGAGCCCCTCATTCAGCCTGTTGGCACTGGATCGGGGAATGTAGGGATCAACAGTTCGGTTGTACAGTTCAGCGTAAGAGCCAACCGCAGAGACACAGTCCCGAAGCATTTGCTTCAAAGGATCACCAAAGAGCCTTGTCACTGGCATGTTGAAGGAAGTTTCGGAAGTGATGCCTTCTTCTTCAGCATAGATAGTTGCCATGACAATCCAAAACACCCAGTCACTCCACTGAACATCATGCATGCGTGTCATCAAGGCAAAAGCATCCATGCCGTTCTGGTCGTAATAGAAGGGGGCGGAAAAGGAAAACCCTTGACCTGTAGTTTGCTCTCGGTATTGTGCTTGAAGGGTGACTCGGGCACCGGCTACCACATCCACTGTGCCATTCTGCAAGGCAAAATAGGATTCGGTCTGGTCCACCAGCTCAACATAGACAACATTGTCCTGGTCACCTGCAAAGAGGGAAGCAGCTATGCCTTGACAGAATCCAACGTCAAACCCAGACCAGTCGGTTCCGTTGCTCGAGTTGACCCCAACTGCGAAAGCTGGACCTCGAGATGGCAGGACACCACAAACCAGATAGCCCCGATCAAGTACAGTTGCCAGGGCGCTGTTGGGAGCAGGCCCGGGTCCAAGGACATTGAGTCCACCCAAGGGAAATGAATACAACAGGCCAGATGTTTGATCCTTGCTGTACAATCTGTTCAAACCATTACCACGTGGAACCCTGGGTTTGCTGCCGTACAGATCACCATGGTTACCAAACTCAGAAACCAAAGCCACAAGGAGCGAACCTAGCCTTGTATCGTTTTTGCTGTGGCTTTGGCTCCCACTCCTCAGGGAACTTGTGACAAGAGATGTCTCATCTTCGGCTACTAGGCCTGACATCAAGTGAGCATTCGCCTTCGTGATATTGTGAGACTCTGCAATCAAGAAAGCATTGACAACCAGAGAGGCCAAAGCGGACCATTGTGGGTCACTGTCTCTTGTAGTCAATGCAATTGGGTCCCTTGAGAAGACCTTTGAGCCAACCTTCCATTCGCCATCATAAGTTTTCAGAAACTTGCTCATCCGATTAAAGGATCCAGCCAGCACATTGCATTTCCCCAAGAGGAAGTTTTCTTCAAGAAAGCTATCCTGGGCCAGGACACCAGAGGGGTCATTGGTACTAGGAACAATAGCCCCACCTTCCAGAATCTTGGTCAAGGCATCAATGTATGTCGTGTTCACTACCACACAGATCTTCAAATCGCGACAGTGACCACTGAAACTGTCCAGAGCCTCTGCGCAGTCAACAAAGGATGGAATTCCTGCAAACATCATGCCAGTGTACGAAAACGGGGTAGTGAAAGAGAACCCTACGTTGCTGCCTTTCTCGTTGATATCTCGTTCCCTGGTTGGTTTTGAGGCAGAAGGAAAGGATGGGCTATGTCAATTCAAACTAGAGTTCCAGGGATGACCAGTTCATTGCTTCACTTACATGCTATGCGTATCTCTGGTAAGCGTTATGTCAATCGAGTTGTTGGCAAGAAGTATGAACCTTGTACCAAAAGTAACCCACACAGGTTCAATCTTGCTGGAATCTCCGAGTGCTGCCAGTGCCATTGCCCTACAGTATTTCACTGTCATTTCATCTTCTACTGGCTGTTTTGTATCATCGTTCCAGGCCCACGCAGGCAAAAGGCCGCACCTGACGTACCCTCGTTCTTTGATCATGTCAATAGTTGAACGTGCGTCTGTCACCTCCGAGCTCCCTTGAGCCGTTTTCTTGCTTTCTTCAGGAACATTATGGTCGCCATTGGACAATCCCAATGTCAAGCCGAGGGCAAGTGCAAGCACACATATCAACAGGAGAGCCAAATTGGCAGGACGGACGAGCTTTCTCTCCGAAGGTACTTCTGTCTTCACAACGTCAGCCTGCACGGCCTCTTCCAATACTCTATTCCGTATCTCACTTTCAACTTGTTCCCTAATCTCCTCTTCAATCTGGGCCCTTTCATCCTCAACCTTGACAGCCTCGAATAGTGTGGCTGGTGGTGCTTCGGACATGCTTTCGTCCTCACCGGTAATGGCGGGAGCAACTGTTGTCTGATCATCAGCAGACGCACAAATACCGCGTACGCTAAAGGCTCCAGGGATTCCTGACTCTCTTTGCCTTTGTAGAGTTGGGGTTGGCATTGGCTGAGGTTTTGGGCCGACCAAGTCGGGCTCAGGTAGAAAGGGGATAGGCCCTCCGGCGTAAGCAACTGGCAGTGGTTGCCCAATGCCTTCAAACCGTTGTGGAAGCAAGAGCTCGTCGTTCTCCATTGTCCGCATGCCCTTGCATATTGTGACGGTCTCAAGCTGACTGTCTTGTTGGTCACTTGTATCGGACAATTTCCGTTTCATTCCTGGCATGTCGCCGTCGGCAGCCGTTGCTTCAGCCATTGCCTCCTGTTCGAACACAGTCTTTTCTGGTGCCTTAGCAATGTATCTTTTCTCTGTGCTTTTCTTTGCGCGTGGAGTTCCTTTTGCAGTCTCCCGCTTCAGACCCTTGATTTTCTCACTGGCAAGGCCATCACCAGGGTTGTCCTTCTTGGTCGACGTGAGTTGCAGCACTATTATTCTGTGCTTGAAAAAGGGAGACGCCTGGAATCCTTTCCCTCTATTGCACAGTTTGAGACCGGTCTCTGGGAGAGAAGAAAACGAGGCAAGTCCTGTTTATGGTCGGCGTGTCGGCGTCTTTTGTGAAGGGAGTTTGTTGTACCACTCAACACGCAATGGTTTCCTTGCCCCAGAGATCGTCTCCTCTCTAAGTGTAGCAGTCTCTCGAACAGGAAAGGTTGAGGGTTCGGGACGGAATTTCTTCATACAATGTTCCACCGAAACTGTGTTGTTGTTGATAATGGATCCCAAGATCGAAGAGGTCGACTGCTCGTGATGAAATGCTTCAGAGTTCAGAGCATTTCGTTTTTCGATTCTTTCCCATAGACTAGACTATGGGTACGGTACACTTTCACTTTGCGAAGATTCACCCAAAAAAACTCTTTTTCGCCAAGTCTTACAAGTAGCTCTTTGTTTTGTCTCCTAACTAATGACGCGTGTTAAATCTCAACTTGATTGAGAATGGTACATCCCGTACATCGTGCACTGTAATAATGGTACCGTACGGTACCGCTGCAACTGCAAGCACTCTATTGGAAGATTTTATGAGACGGTACCGATACATGCACAACGCCAGGACCCGTCACTCTCGTGTCTCTTTCTGTATGTAAAGATGACTCAGGTCGTCAGGACCCAGTGCCCTCTTGCAGGGTGTGACCACCAGGGAGGAGCAGGAAAATGCATTACACCACTACACAAGCCATTACACACTACATGCAAGTACTATTTTATAAGGGCATTCAACAAGCTACCCTTTTGGTTGATTACATGAGCACTCAACAGGTTGCTCCTAGATTGGTTGGTTGTTGTAGTTGTTTACAGTGTGCCTAACACACATCAAAGCCATGGCTGTTGTTGAGTTTGTCTAGTGATGAGGGGTCAGGTTGTTGTATTCAATATCACCTTTCTTCTTGCCCTTGGCATGCCTCTTCCTCATGACAAAGGATTGAGCTACCCTTTTCTTCCTTTTCTCAGCCAAGTCAACATGGCAGAACAATGCACCAGACTCAAAGCTGGGGAAGGTAACATTCAAAGTAGAGGGATCAACTGGAAAGGGCAGCTCCATAGTGAATTCTGAAATGACATCACCCCTGACATCAAGGATGGACCTGACATACTGCTGCATGGCATGGCGCCTCACATTGGTATCCTCTAGGTTCTCCCTTGTGTGTTGTTGATAGAGATAATAGAACTCCCCAGTATCCAAGAGGTCTTGGTGCCACTTCTCACTGATAGTCAGCTTCTTGCCATTCGCAGAGACCATGGTTTCGATGTCGGCTTCAGTCGCGCCACTGCTGAGCCACACAATGATAGTCACATGGCGAATGCCATGTTCATTCTCCCATTCCTTGACCATCCTCTTCGGCTTCCAAGTAGTGGGGCCATCCTCTTCGGTAACATCATCCTCATCATCGTTGTCAGCAATGGAAGGAAGCTGCGCAACTGCAGGAGGCCTGGCTGCCACGACAGGTACTTGGTTGCGAGGAACAAAGCTGGGAAGAATGGGTAGTGGTCCATCATCATCTTGTGGTGGTTGTGGTCCTCTGAGAGCAACACCAGCAGCCATTCCTCTGGCTTTGTTGAACTGAGAGCGAAACTGGTTTGTGGAGTACTTCTGGAATCGCTCATGCATGGCTCTCACAGCGGCGGGTTGTTCATCAGTGATGGTTCCATTGTGGAACAGTCGAAGCAGAAACTTGAAGTCGGGACCATCTTGCTTGAAGATGTGCTTCACCGGTTCATTGCCCTTCTTCCCCGGAGCGTTCTTTCTGGAGGACATGGTCGATTGTAGAATGTTGTGGTTATCCTGCTTTGCCAATTGATGTTGATCTGGATTTGTGAGAGGAGAGAGGAGAGAGAAAGAGCGCCATTTTGAAGATCGACATCTTGGTTGTCTACTACTGGTATCAGTGGAAGTTTACTGGTTGTGCAGTTTTGTTGGTTGTGCAGTTTTGTGCAGTTCGCTTCAAGGCAATACCGGCAAGATCGATCTTGCCAGGTAACTTGATGGGATTAAACTTTCAGACGCATGTGGTTCACTGCAAGGCTTAGAGGTCATGCTGGTTCACATGATAGATCGCGATTTATTTCTTCCTCTCAGTCATGTGGAAGGCGGCCAGGAGGGTGTTGCAGGCGACCTTCCAACGGTCAAACCCAAATTCGCACCAATTGGTGCTCACATTTCTAGGCATCAATTTGCAAGGGCGTGCTATGGGTGTGCTTCGCCCGTCACAGAACGCCCCAAAGCACAAATCACCAACTTGGAGGGGCGATATGGAATGCCATAAGGTACCAGCATGACCAACATGGGCGGTCCCTTCTTCTACTAGTATTAGCCAGGGCAAAGGAGCCTTATTTGACTAGGAAAGGACCATTCTGGCTTTCTATATCGCTCCCTCAAAGTGCCGTTCCAGGGCATCAGGACGTCCTGGAACACTTTTTATTAGGGCGTTGTACACTTTTCAGCGCTTTTAATGGTCCTGGACTGAGGTATGAAATTGGTGTATGTATTCAAACTGGATGGATTGTGTGGATGAATGGTCCCTTCCCTTGTGGCGAATGGGTTGATATTGCCATTTCTTTGTCATCTTTGGTCCACATGTTTGAGGGAGATGAGAGAGCTGTGGCTGACAAAGGGTACAGGGGTATCCTCAGTTCTTTGACTGCCCATGGCGACACCTTGACAATCAACAACAGACTAGCAGGAAGGCTCTTGCAAGGGCCAGGCACGAATGTGTCAATAGGAGACTCAAGGAATGGGGCTGCCTCCTTCAGAGGTGGCGCCATTCCCTTGATAAACATGGTAAGATGGCCCATGCTGTGGCCAACATTGTGCAGCTCCAGATCATGGACCGGCCAATGTGGCAGGTGGAGTACTATGATAGAGTCGACAATGAGTTTGACTTTGATTATTAAATAGTTTGTAGTTACTCTAGTTGCAGCCTCACTATTAGCCATAGCATTGACAGTCAACAACCAACCAGTCTGCTCAGGTGTGTAATGCTTGTAATGCGTTTTCCTGCTTCTCCCAGCGATTCCAGCACTCAGCATCTAACAAACAACGTTCCTGGCGATATTACGTTGTAAAACACTCACTCATTCACATCTTTGAATTTGATTGCCATGATCATTCCAGTGTCTTCGTGGGCCAAAAAATGGCAGTGAAAGACCGATTTTCCGTTCAAATTGACGACGGGGGCAGGAACGAATTGGATCCAAATCTTCACGATTCCATAGGGTGGAATGACCACCGTGTCGCGCCACACTCTTGCTGGTTGGACCCGTGTCATGTATTCCATCATGGGTGCAGAAACCAAGGCATTGCCACTCGATGCCGATATGACTTGGAAGGGCACGACATGAATATGAAAAGGGTGGGTGGCGTTCGATGTACTGACGAGTGTCCACTCTTCTGCATGTCCGTCCAAGACCAACTCATCCAAGATGTAGTCGATCTCAAAAGCTTTTTCGTTGATGGTGAACTGCGGAAACGGGATCTTTGTCACGTCTCCAGCAACATCAAAATAGACGGTGCGCCGTTTTGTCACCGTCTCGGGAGCAATGTTGAAGGCATGGGCTGTCGGCAGAGTAAACTTGAGGGAAGAAATGTCCACTGCCGTTGCTGGAGTTGGTGGCTCTGTCACTTGAAAAGTTGCCAGTAGTTGATCACCCGGTCCCACACCATAGAACTGGATCTTAGACAACCCCATAGTCCAAACCTCGTAGATGCCGGCAGCAGGGAATTGAAGGAGAATATCCTGGCGCATACCACCGCCCTGCACGTATTGGTCAACCTGGATGGGTTCAGCATAGTTGATACCATCCGAACCGGCATCCCAAACTTTCACTAGATTCCCGTCCTCGTCTAGAATGCGGAAGTTGACCAAATTCTCCGTGGTTCCTGTGAGGAACTTTAGCCATGTGGTTTCCCCAACGGTCATTTCGAAGTTAGGTTGGAACTGACCGTTAACACAGTAGGTAGCTTCGGGGTGCGCTACAATTCCTCTTTGGCCATTCAGAAAGGTGGTTACCACATAAGTATTGGCTTCAACATCACTAAAAGCAAAGTGAGGATCCGTCACAACAAATGGCGTAACTGTTGAAATTCCAGCTTCTTCGAGCTCTCGTGAAAAGCTGCCCTCGATGGCAAGCAATCCAGCTGCTTGGGCCCAGGTCCACATGGCCGAGGACCCGTGGCGGTGAGTGTGGTACCTGGGATTTTCATTTGCGAGACAGATGGGTAAGCAATTCAACAACAGGCCAGGAGATTGTTCACCTTGTACGATGCTCTACGTACCAATATGTACCCGTGGGATGGTCTTCAGGAAAGTAGAAGGAATAGCAGTAGCATTCACCAGGTCCAACACTGATCCAGTCGGCGTCGGCGTCTGAAGTTCCTTGCGGCATGAACAGATGAGGCTCGACAACGGCACCGTGCAGATGTAAGTTCACCTGGTCATAGTTGGACGGGATGTTTTCCGGATTTGGTACAGTGATGTCTTCCACGGTTTCGGGCGTGGGTCCAATGAATGTCAAACCATATGGTTGCAACTCATAGTATCCGCCATCGGGGTTGCTGCGATTGAGGAATGGGACGTATAGAGACTTGTCGACACTTTCAACGGTGTATCCATCTCCCATACCGGTGGGGGGTGTTCCCGGTTCGAGGTTGTTTCGGAGAAGAATGGACATGGTTTCTCCTGGCTTGACCTTGAGGCTGGGGCCCAAGGGGCCTGTTTGTGCTTTGGCCTCAGGCGTGTCCTCGAATCCTTCGCCTCCCGTGAAAGTGCGAATACGAGCATAAGCACCAGTAGCGCTTGCTGGAGCATCCAGCCCAGGCGGATAGTTCTCGATCCAGTACTTTTCGTAGGAAGCAATAATTTCGTAGTATCGATCCGTGGTTGTCCCGCAAGTACGTTCCTGGACTGCACAAGAATAGGAAATCGAGGCAAGGGGAAGTGGATGACGAGGGTTTTCGTCTTCAGATACTTCTTCAGGAAAAGAGTTGGATTGTTTGTTTACAGAGCGCAGATGTGGAAGGTCGAGATCATCTTGAGCAGAAATCATCAGCCTGTCGCCTCGAAACGAAAGTAGAAGAAAGCTGACAAGCAGCCAGCACCTAAGGAAGTTCATGGTCAGGGATCGAATGGGTGGGATGGATTTACCTTCTGCGTGGATGATGATTGTGACCTCTTGTATTGGGGAGTAATTTGGTTTTAGATCTTTAAAAAAGTTGAAAAGCAAAAGTGAGGATTTTCTGGTGGTGCACAGCAATTCTTGTGATTGAATTGGATATAAGGACCCCCGCAACACTTTAGACCTAAAACTCCCTTGGTTCCTTGCATGATGAATTTGCATGCGAACCGGACTAGATGATTAATACACGAGTCAATAGTAAAGAGGTGTCAGGTATATTTCCTCCAACACACTCCTGCACGGTGCCCTAAGTGGCTACCGTGGAACGAATAAATAAATTAGGAAATCAAACAAGGGGTGGATGCCCATGATGAAAGCCCTGTGCTCGTGGAAGAGCTTGCCCTGAAGGGGCTTCGTGAAAAAATCTCCACGCATCTCCAAGGTTGGGCAGTACACCACTCTAAGGTTGCCTTTTCCAATCTGATCGTGAATGAAGAAGAAACGGATGTCAATTGCCCGAGTCCTTTTGCCCGAGCTGTCTTTGCCGTTCTCAGCAAGGATGATGGTCGACTTATTGTCTTGCATCAGGATGTTGTCCTTGACAATGATCCCCTGCTCTTCAAGAAACAACTTGGCCCATAACATTGGAGACATGACGTCGTCTGCTCCAATCAACTCCGCTTCGGTACTGCTCCTTGAGTTGAGCTTCTGTTTCGCGGATACCGACAACACCGCTCCACTTCCAAAGGACATGACTCCTCCTGTATGGGAACGGTAATCAGGATGGACTGCAAATGATGCATCCACCCACCAAGATGGAGAATCAACTTGTCCTCCACTGTCTGTTCCAGGAACTTCAGTCCTTGGGTCAACTTGTCCCAATCATCAGATGTTGGGCTTCTAACACGAGTGCATAAGACAGTTGTCAGAGTTTGCACATCTGGTCGAGCACGTTTGCACAGGAACAGCAGCTTGGCTGCAAAGGTATGGTAGGTTTCCCTGCTTTTGTCATTCAGGATGGTGCCATCACCAGAGCTGAAGAGGTCAGCAGGAGCTGCACTTGATACCTTTCTCATCTCCTCGAAGTTGACTGGGAATTCCGATACCATCTTCTTGATGTAATCTATCATGTCGATGATCACCTTTCCTGGGTCTGAGAAGTCCACTGTCATCCCCAAGTAGTCATGCTTGGGACCACGGGTTGCCTTGACGGCCCCATATGTTCCGTACTTGTCATTGAACCACTCCAGGGTTCGATTGTTTACCAGTTTCATCCGGTGGCTCGACATCAGGCCGTCCACATGGAAGCGTATCGTCTGCTGATATCCTTCAATCATCCTATTGGCAACACACGGATCATACTGGTTGAATACGAATTCGATTCCCTCCAGGTCACTCCTGAAGAGCTTGTACCAAAGCAGTGCTGCCAAAACCATTCCGTAGATGGCTCTTTCCACAACGACATAGAGGACTGGTCGTCCCTTTTTGTATGTCAGGAAAGAGGCATATGTGTCAGGATCAATTTCGACAAGCAAGTCTGCAAGGGTTCCCTCAATGATCATGAGGACCCTGTCTTCACCTTGTTTGACTTTTGGCATTGGTGTTTGGATGAACGCATTGGGAACATCCAGGGACATCACATCCCTATTCTCGGATGCATCGATACACATGGATAACATCAAACCCTCAAGTGAAACTGTTGGGCTTCTGGCATCTTCTTTCTGATGGTACACCCTTGTAGGTTTCCCATTGTAGACTGCACGTGCCTTGACCGTGCCATCCCTTTTCTCACTCACAAACATGAGTGCCATTTGTGCCTTTTTCAATTCAGAATCACTGCACTTGTTTGGGTCGACTGGACTGAAGCAGACTCTGCTGTGGAGCTGGTCCATCTCTTTGAGCGCCGCCTTTCTGGCTTTGTTGCCCCACACTTTCAGACCCTTGGGTAGAAGATGCTGTTGGGCATGGCTGCTCTCATCCTTGACTTCTGCTGTGGCACTCCTGTGATTACAGGAGTCCATGAACAATGCCAAGTGCTTGCTTGTTTCGGTCTCGTAAAGCAGTGGCTGATTCACTTCATCATCTTGGACGAAGGTTACTCCTTTCTTGTTTGCTTCAGCTGTTGCAATCCAAGCTGATCGTTGAATTCCAACTCTGGGAAGCTTGGAAGCTTTGTCTGGCCCAGCGAGGTTTCCATCGTTGGTATCCACTGCTGGTGCCGTCTCTTCGACTGTAGGGTTGGCTGGACTTGTACTTGTTGGGATTCCTTGGAATCCCTCTTCTCCTTCTTCATCGGAGTCAATGTCTGTGGCATACTGTTTGGATGCCCTTGGTACTAGCCCTGGGGCGTTCCCATCCTCAGAATCTTCATCTGATTCTTTGGATTCCACTGAATCGTCGTCCGAAGAGTCTCCATAGACTTGTAGGTAGCTCTCATTTCCATTGTCACCATCCACTCCTGCAGGCAAACCTACAGGTAAAAATTCCACAAAGTCACGGTTGTGAAAGATTAGTGGTTTCTTGCCCTCACCGTATGCCTTCTTTTCGACAGCATCAATGACTGGGCGAGGCATCGGCAGAATACGAACATGCTGGCGTGTGATTACCTCAAAGGTGACAAGATCCATCACACTGTGCCCTCCTTGGTGGTTGTCCATCAGGGGGCGGAGATAGATGCAATCCAAACGCCTGGGCTCCATGGAATTGAGCTTGTCTGGTTCGTTGGAAGCTAGACAATAGCTCCCAAAAGTGTACTGAATATCTTTGTAGCTTGTGGTCCGACCCTCCAGGATCTGCCTAGGAGGATACACTTTGGAGATTCCATCAAGCGCGGGGAAGAGGTTGAGTTTACAGTTAACATCGTATACCAATTCCACAATCATCACCTTGGCATCACCATGAATGGGGTTGAATGCCAGGCTGCGCGGATGCGCTCCTTCAAGGTTCTGATGTTGCGTTCGGCTGGGCCACTGTGGGTCTGAGCCGCTCCATGGTTCAGCTTGAGCTCCATGTCGTTTTTGACAGGATCCATCAAGCTCTTGAACTCCAGGTCACACTGTATTTCTTGGATCTTGAAGTCATTGTTCCCATACGGGTCAAAGATCTTGTCAATGGCGGCATAGAAGGATTTGCCTTTCCTGTTGGTAAGGTAGGCAGATTCTCGGTGACGGATTTGGAGGTCAGTGAATGCAAGGAAAGCAATTTCACAAACATAGAAGACATCCATGCATCCTGTCAAGAACCTGTGTGGGGCCACCAGCTCATCCGGAACAGCATGGATACTGTCGGTCACTGGTGGTGGGCGTCTGCGCGTAGTAGAGCCCTTGGCCTTGCCCATGTCGCTGCCAAAAATTAATTCGGCGCGGTCGATGTCCTCCAACTTGACGGGACAATCGCGAATTTGACCAGTCCTGATCATGTTGCGGTACCCCTCCAAAGATGGGCGCTGGAGGTTGTGGTACAAATTTCTTGCGAGAAATGCACCCTTGGCTTGCTTCTTGGTAAAGCCTTCGAGGTTGCCCTCCACCGTCTGGACCAAATTCTGGAACTCCGGTGAAAACTGGTTGAGGTGAGACATGTGATCCAGTAGGGCTTGCTCAATCAGCACTCCATACAGACCTTTGGCGGTCCTTCCATATCTGGTATGGATCCCAGTTGGGCGGTAGTGGTAGATGGCGTCGTCCACTCTTGAGTCCATGAGGACATAGGATCCATCCTGTGCTCTGACGCAGTCATCCACAACAAGAGACAAAGCGTTGATGTTGGCGATGCCTCCTGGATTGGCATAACCATTTCCATAAGGGGTGTCCTCTTCTTGGGTAAGCTTGGTGCTTCCAACGTTTGTGGCCATCTCGATTGGTCTTGGAGAGAGCCGCTGGCGGACAATCGTGTCCGGATTCATGACAGTTCGGATGGAACTGCCACTGTCGAGATAAACTGTGTTGGGTCCATCAGGAATGAGGCTCTTGACCGACACTCCTGCAAGATTTGGCTCTGCCACTCCTGTGAGTTCGGCATCTGCCACTCCTGGGGACTCAAACACAATTTGGTGGTGCTGTTCTTCGACTGATAGTGAGTCTTGGTCTTGGAAATCTTCATAACAGTTGCCTCGCTGGTTCTCCCGCTGACGCCGACTGGGTCCACGGTATAAGCAGCGAAATTCAGTCTCTGTATCTGAGCTGTAGTCGGAACAGCAGCTCTGATCATCATCTTGGCCATCCCGAGGGATCACTCCTTCACATGGAGCTGTGTGGAAGACGGTGTCAGGGAAGGCAGAACGACTCACAATTATATTATGGGTTTCATTATACCGCTGAAGGATAAGGTCGGATCCGATGCTTACACCGTCAGGACCTCCCTCGGCAAGCTGATCATGGCCGCAGCCGGAGTGATAGCTTTCTTCGGATGATGTCGCATCATGCTTCCACTCCTCTGCATATCAGTGTCGATATCGACTCCAATATCAGAGGAAGGATCGAGTTGGAGTTGGGAAATATCGAGCGCTAGTGAATCTGGATCATCAGCGGGTATCTCCGCAATAGGTGCCTCCTTGACGGGTGCTTCTTCCGCTGTAAGATTGGCCAAGAGCTGTTGTTCAAGCTTGGTGGCAGCTTGGCGTTGACGAAGCAAGAGTGTATCGCCAGGTTGCTGAATCTGATGGTATGGTGGAGCCATGAGTGTGCCAATCACAGGAGGTGTCGTAGGATCTAGCTGTGCTTCCATGGCTGAGGAGATGCGTCGACGTGTCCAGAGGTCGAAGGGTTCATTGCACAGAACTTGCGGGTCGAAGGTGTGGTACCCTTTATGATCCTCTTGGATTTGCTGTTGGATATTCGTATCAATAGCCTCGTATTGGGAGGTACCGTAAGCAAACTGTGAGAAAGCCTGATCACCGGATGGAAGGATTGTTTCTCCATCATCGAGTGCGGGCATTGGAGGATCCGCTTCGTTGGGTACGTCGAGGAGGTCCACTGGTGCCGTCGTATTTTCACGAGAGGTTTGTGTTTGGCTGTCATCGGATTCATCAGAGAAATATACGAAGGGTTGCCAATCAGGGTCAATCTCTGGCTCGCTGAACAACATCTCGTGGGAGTAGGACTCGTAGGATGAGCGATCAACCTCGTGGACTCGTACCT